GAATCGATGAGTAGAGTGAGAGAGAGAGAGAGAGAGAGAGAGAGAGAGAGAGAGAGAGAATGAATTGATCATAAGCTTTGCTGGTTCATCCAAGTAAAGAAATTTAATTGAAGGCCTATTTCTGTATTGGCATCATTGTACATCTTGCAAACTTACAGCACAGAGTCCAGTCGGGATTTTATCAGCAGGGGCTTGCATGATGCTGATCAGCGTGGGGATGAGACGTATCTGCATGGGTCCCTGACAGCCTTCGATCTGGGACAGTTCCTTGAAGATGCCCTGGGCCAGGGAAGCCACCACTGGGTCTGAGGAGAGCAAAAAGGCATTTTGTACATGTGCAGCAGTACTTCTGTTTCCAATTTAACGTTCTATCGTTAATCATTGGAAATAAGTGCGAGAGGGAGAGGAGGATTACCGTTGCTGTATTTGAGGAACACGGCGATGGTGAGGGGGCAGATCTTATTCTCTGCGCTAGTGGTGAAGGCCGGGTCGAAGGTACACACGATGCACAGTGTCTCCATGACCAGCGCCAGTACCTCGGAGTTGAACTGGGTTGCCAGTTGGACCAGCCCCTCCAGGACGCTGGGCAGGTAGGGCTGCAGGATGTGTGTGTTCTCAGACAGCTTCAGCTGGTCACAATACCTGGAGTATACGTAATACACATTATTAATAAAATGACCGATTATTGATCAGATAGTGAGAAAACGTAAGTGCCCCAATTGTCGGCTGTAGCTCTGATTCTCAGAGTGCAGTTGTGCTTTAGAAGAGGTTATCAAGCTGTGCTTTGACCTCTTACAAGGATTTACAAGGACTCAAGTGACCAATTGAATGAATTGTCAACATTGTACTTCCGTTTATTGTGTTAGTGTAGTATCTGCATACATGTATTTGCCTTTAAGAGGCGGGGCCTGGTGGGGTGGTGAGTGTTGCCAAGTTTGCTTGTGAATTTTTTGGCATGAGTTATGTCTAACAACGTCATCTGCCTTGAGTGTGCTGAGAGTTTTTGTATTATACTGTTCTCTTAGTATTCAATAAACGCCGGAAAAATGTGCCACTTGAGCAATTTAATACATTAGAATTGTGTCACTTACCCCATGCGGAGGAAATCTTGCCTAAAATGCATTTCTGAACAATTTCAGTGCTTGTGCAATGAATGCCATGGCATGGCACTCACCCCCAGATGGCCCTGACCGAAGATACGCGCACAGGTGGTGGCTGGCCGTCGTGGAGACCGCTCACTGTGGCCTGCAGGAACTGCTGGATGAGCTCAGGCGACATTGCGGCTGTGAAGCGACTGGCTGCCCACAGAGCACGACCGAGGAGGAACGGCGACACCGCTGATTGAAGAGAATTGGATGATATATTCTTCAACACATAAAGTGGTGGTTTAGTTCGGCCGGGAATTCGGTTTCAGACTCACTGGCCAGGTTGAGGTCAGCCAAGACGACACTGGCCAAGAAGCCGTGCATGTCAAACTGGATGCGACCGTTTTTCACGTTCTCAGTGATGATGCTTTTGACCGAGCCGAGTGCCAACATGCAGGCCTCGTGAATCTTCCACCTGGGAGAAACAAACAAGAGAAATTTAAAGTTAAAATTTAAAATCCTCCATAAACACAAAACTTCACAATCACTCATATTAACAATTTAGAGTCTAACGATGAAAAACAGAGCCGGGATTCGAACCCAGAACCCCAGAAATGTGAGACAGACATGCTAACCGCAAAGTCCAAGATGATACAGAAAAATCCCAATATTAATCCCAGTTAATGAACAAAAACAAGAGGCTGACCAATGCTGATTGCCGCTATTTTTTGCTTGCTCCGCCTCCTGAAGGTGTCTGGTGGCCGCCGCCGCCAATGCTGCAGCGCTCTCATTCTGGAACTCGGCAGCAACCGCCTGCAGACGAGAGTTCATCAGCAGGAGAAACACAGGTTCCCTTTGTTTATGAAGAACAGAGTATTGTCCTACCAGCAGCAGGTCCTGAGCGGAGATCCTGACAGTGTAGGAGAGCGTGTCATCGTCCTCATCCTCTACAAACTGGTGAGGGTTGGATGACCACACTTTGATCTGCGTGAAGGCGAAGCAGTCAGTACAGCATGACACATTCACCCCACATGCCATGTCTCACCTGGTCCTCCGTCATTTGCATGTAGAGAATGATGTAATAGATGAGCTCGGGCAACGCCTTCTTCACTGTGCCCTTAAACTTGTTCTTCTCCATCAGTGTGTGCACAAAATCGAAGATGCTGAAAACCAGATTCTCAAAGCCCAACACTTCACCTGCGACAGTCAGCAAAATGGCCAATGAGTAGGCGCTCTGGTAGATAGTACACTTCATTGTCACAGGCTCACCATCTGAGTCGACGGGATCATCCACTTCCTCTGTGTAGTTGACTTCCGTTCTGACATAAGTGGGCATGTTGGTTAAGGGGTTTCAAGTTTTCATTCAAATATTCAAAGGGCTTATTCAAACACAGCCTTTTCCACCACTCGACAGCTGTGATTCCCTTCCATGAGAGCGGATAAAGAAATTACACATCCAGTTTGGTGTTTCTTGAAATCGTCTACAAAACCAAAAGGATAATCTCCAGTCTGTTTTGATTTTTCATTGGCATTTTTTTGGTTTGTGACATCACCGCCAAAGGGTTCCAGTAATAGCAAGGAGGAAAAATTTCAATGACCAACCATAGCCTTGGAACTTAAAACCTAAGATAAGCAATCCATCCATTCATTTCCTATGGTGTTTGTCCTGAATACATTCTGAACACTCTTAAAAAAAGTAAAGATGAAGCTGAGATTCATGCCCTGGGACCTCTGAATTGTCAAGTGGACGTGGTAACCACCAGACTGCCGTGCGCCATATGCAACGCAATGAATTGAATATCACAAAGCTTTTTTGTTTACTCCAGCGCTAACTACAAAGTGCCATGAGATGACAGCGCTCTGCCAACACCTTCCTGTGGACTCTCCATTGCGTGTCTGTTATTTTATTATTATGCAGTTGTTAACTCCTTGCAATAATTATCTAACAGCTATGGATCGGATGTTAAAATGTTAATGAAAATGTCACTTTCGTGAGATTGTGATGATGGTAGCAGGATTTCTTTTTCCATCTCTTCTCACTGGTTCTCAGCTGTAGCCCCATGAGGACCTGCGTTAAGAGGCAACTCAGCATGGGACGATTTACCGTTTATTGTACTTTTAAAAAATCATGGGTTGAATAACCTTGATGACAGTCCATCTCCTCTTCTTTTTGGAGGGGAGGTTTCATCAGGGCACATCCTGCTGCAATAAGATTGGCTGCTTGCAGACATTCTAAACGAGCGTGTAAAAATGAAGTGAATGAGACACATTTTGGGCAAACGATTGAAATCACTACTTTACATTACTTCCGAGGGAAAAGTAGCTCTGAAGTAAACAAGAGAGTTTTTCGAGAGCGGACCTATCCAGTGAATGGATGGAATTTGTGGTCCTCCACCGAACAAAGCAACCCATTCAGTCACATATCTGTTGATTGTGTAGAGTGGTTCCCAAAAAGGATATAAAGCCGCACTTTCAGTGAGTGTGTTCCAAACGATGGGCAAAATCTGCTGCATGGAAGACACCATGGGCTTAGGGAAGTTCTGTACCAATGCCGTTATTGCCTGCAAGAAGAAGGTGTCACGCTTATAGTTTCCATTGAAGCAGGTAATAGGGGGTCCTGGGTTCATAAAGTGTTTGTGGCCGAGTGAGCTGAATTTGTGCGAGTCAACTATCATTAACATATGCCATTAACATTTGCAAATTTCCCCAATGTGGGACAAATAAAGATTATCTTATCTTATCAAGGCAGTAATAAAGTCGTAGTCACAGTAAATGTCTATCTCTATACATATTAAACGAGAGAGCCCCAGGGTTGGGGAACGTTTTTTTCAAGCGTGGCTGCAATATAGATACTTCATAACAAGCACAAAATGCTTATTTTGGCCATAAAACAAAATAGGTATAATCTGCTCAAGTATTTTTACGCCACTGCATAAACTGGTTCATTGCTGCATTTGTAACCACTCTCTATAGTTTTTTTTTTTTTTTTTACCTTGAGGACCTCCATCTTCAGGCCGCTGTCGGACGAGGGTCCGTCTGGCATCTGCAAGGCCTGCACAAATGCTTCTGTAAACTGCTGCACGACAGGGAAGATCAAGGCTTTGGCTGCACCCTGAAAACACAGAGGAAATACAGTTAAAAATATTTGTGTTATATTAGTGTGGATTATTACAAATTCGGAGTGCGCCCTCACCTTTTCAAGCTCCTCAATAGCGCAAATGAGGTTGGCACAGGTGGTGAAGATCTCCACGGCTCTAGAACGGGTACGAATGCTGTACACCTGCCACAGTAAAAATGCAAAGACAATTCATACATTAACAGAGCCTGTTAAATTTGTGGGGGTAGGAAAGCAATGAGGGTGGTTACCTCAGCCATGGTGAAGATCTTGTACATCTCAGGTAAGATGACGGGAGCCACGAGCGGCATTTGTGTGTCCGTCACTTCCCGAGTAAATTCTGGAGATGCAAAGCAATGCGAATACTCACAAATTTAAAAATATATAACCAAACAAAATCATAGTATTATTCAGCAATCTCTCATTCGACTGATTGCTATACAGCAGGATGGGAAACTTCAAATGATGGAAGGGCCCAATAATTTTTCATTTGTGCTACTGGGCGCCTCAAAGTGGAGTGTGGTCGCAGGACACATGTGGCCTGGCAGTTGCCCATCCATGCTATACAGGTAGAATTGAATAATCTTTTATTTCAAAACTTGATTTTAGTAATTAGAATGTAGTTTTTCAAATTGAATATTTAAGATAGTACTATCAGTAACGTTTTGCTAGTTTGCTGGGAGGAATCACATGCGTGTACTGCTTTGTTAGTGAAGTGTTAGCACATAATGGGTTTCACTATTCATGTCCCACAACTAGAAGATTGCAACGCATTGAAATGTAGGATATTTATGTATTTAGTGCCTCACCTGCATTTAAAAAATGTAACTGTGTCAATATATTTCGCTCTATGTATACTCAGATATTTTGAAAAATTACATTATGAGAAATTATAATGCTCAATGAAGAAAACTATGAGAAATGTGTTTACAAATAAATGATTTATACAAAAAAAATATATATTTGATTAAAAACGAGTATTTTAGACATTATTTTATTCAGTTTCGCCCAGTCCAGAACGGCTGTAATGCATACATAAAAAATGAGATACAAATGTCGAAAATTACCTATGGATATTTTAAGATTTATTTTATTTTTTTTAATTACCGGTATCTGATTTGAATTTTACAACTCCAAAAATATTTTTGCAAAATGTAAAATCTAAACGTGTTAATTTTATACACTTATTAGCAAAACACATTGTTCAAAATGTTTAAATCATACACGTGACATTGTTAAATCATTTTAATGACATCATTAATGCTAGAATGGAATAACAGAGTGGACTACCATCCACTTCTATTGATGTATAAATATATTGATGCCTCACTCATCAACGAAATAACAATAAACTACAGTTAAAAGCACAGCGATTGGTCGATTAGCACGCTCAGCCCAGGACAAGCAGATTCTGGGTTTGAATCCTGGTATTTCAGTGTCAGTATATTCTCCCAGTACACGTGTGGGTTCCTTGTGGGTACTCCCACAGCACAAAAACAAGCATGTGAAGTTATTTTAAGAGCCTATCTTCTCTATAGGTATGAATGGTTATCGCTCTGTGTCACTGCTATGATTGACAGCTGATGACTCTTGTGAGCGTACCTGTAAGGACCCTCATGGCCCCGTGCACGGCACTAACGTCGCCGCTGACCAACATTTCCATCAGCAGGGTGAAGAGCTGCGGCCAAGCCTCGGGCCAGTCCCAGTGTGCGATGGCTGACACGGCGTACGCGACGCTGGAGCGCACCTTGCTGATGGATTCACGCAGCCCGCTGGGCAGCAAGCTCCTGATGGCGGCTTTGGCCTGCAGTGAAGAGGGAAGCAGAGAAAAACTTCAGTGCGGGTTGTTGGATTCTGCTGGAGCAAAATGGAGGTGTGTTTGGTACCTGGTCGGTGGTTTCAGGGGGGCGGAACTTCTCTGAGTGGGAACACCAGTGAGTTTCAACATACTGCTTCAGGATGACTGACGCTAACTGAGGACAGGGCGAGAAAGGTTGTATAGTCAGGACCTATGATGCAGCTAAAACACTATCGATTCATATCGGAAAGACTTTTGAATCTGAAACGCATGTCCATCTTCACACCAACACACCTGGCGGATGGCGAGAGCTCCTTGAGGATCGACTGTCAGTTCTGCCAGGTGGACGCCAAACTCTATACACAGTAGAATGAAGGAAAAAGATAAATTTGAAAGACATTCTGAATTGCTGCTATTTCTTGGTCTGATTGATAATTCTTCTACTCTTTTTTTTTAACAATTTATTATATTGTATTCAATATAAATAACTTTATATTGTGCGTAAACTAAAATACATGTATAATGATATTCTTTAATGGGCATTTTGAATAATGCAAAAAAATTATCTAAAATATTTATTTATAAATATTTTTAGATATTTAGCTACAATGGAAAAATAAGATGTCACAATAAATAAAATTATGCGTCTAGGACGCGGGACGCAGAGGTAACGAGATGACTGTTTTATTATTCTTGTTTTGGTTGTAAAGTGTCCTTGAGTGTCTTGAAAGGCGCTTAATAAATAAATGTATTATTATTATATTATTAATTGTAAAAAATAATCTAATTCCGATTGCAATACATATATAT